AAGGATAGGAAATGTGTTAGAAGCATTTTCCTGGTCTGAATCCCTCAGAAATGGGTATTTATAGACTGTATCAAATTTTTAAAATATCTTCCATCTTTTATTTCGGAGTGCAAAAACTGAGCAATGGCATTTTTTCACAATGAAAAAAATGTTAAATTTGGTATAAAACTTTTCTAGCTAATGTGTCTGTACAACCTGCAGGTTATTCATTATCCTTGGGACTATAATCTAGTCCTCATGTACAACTATAAATCTCATGGTCCATGTCCATGTCCTTGTGGGAAATTTAAAAGGCTTTCTTTATATCCTTACGCAAAGATTTTTTTTTGTGTGTGTGGTTCTAAGAGAATTTATGCCTACAGGATCCTCTTCAGATGATATAAGAAGCTGCCAGGAGCTTCTCTGGGAGCCTGTTGCATGAATGTATGGATCTTCTCATGTCATGCTATAAAAGCTGTTGACAATGAACAGTTGTTTTACATGTGAAAAAAAAAAAAAAGCTTGGAGTATTTCAGGGAAACCTTTTATAGACTGAATGTTCTCCCTTAGCTTTTCTAAGCAACACCAACAGAGTTGAATCTTGTTTTGTTGTTCATTTAGCTTACAAAGTTAGTTAATTTTTTTCCATGCATTTGTTTCCACTGACACCTCCTTTCTCACAAAGACCTAGGAAAACTAACTCATGAGAGTCAAAATAGGACGCGTTGGTGGCATTAGAATCCCTATTTTCATATTCCTGTAACTGAGATCATAGAGAAAGTACCCACACAGTATTTGGCACCTAGTAAGTATTCCTTCCTAGAAAAATCTTGTGAACATATTTTCCCGCTGCCCCTCTCTTTCATTTCTATCTTTTAAAAATTTGGTTGGTATTTTGTCCCATCCAAGGGAGGGCTTTGGATAATCGTCCTGTGGTATTGGTCAGCATGGTCTGTTCTGGAGTGTGGCCTAGATGACTTTTGATGATTGCTTTTGATGACTTTAGGCTGTGGCCCCAGCTCCTGAACTGCATCCTACTCCTTTCAAGATCTTTCTTTACTCCTAACCCCTCTGCCATTCTTCCTGGCCCACAACAGAGAGGAAGCACCTTGCTGACATGCGTGTCATTTCTGGGTTTTCTTCTGCATCGTGCCAAGAGACTGGAGTCCACATCACCGTCTCCCCAGCATGCCACTTGGCCGGAATCCTACAATAAGGCATGTGGTCAAGCCGTAATCCATTTTATATGTCCCAGGAATGATAGTCGTTCACTGTTTTGGGAGTCTGTGCCTAGATCACAAACTTGTGAAGATTCTCCACAGTTCTTACCTTCAGCTTTGCTCTCTCTTTTTTTTTTTTTTTAAGATTTTATTTTGTTTATTTGAGAGAGAGAATGAAATAGAGCATGAGAGGGGGGAGGGCCAGAGGGAGAAGCAGACTCCCCGCTGAGCAGGGAGCCCGATGCGGGGCTCGATCCCAGGACTCCAGGATCATGACCTGAGCTGAAGGCAGTCGCTTAACCAACTGAGCCACCCAGGCGCCGAGCTTTGTTCTCTTTTTACCCTTCCTTCCTTGTCCCTGAGATTGTCATGACCCAGAAGTAAATTGTTCCTGAAGCTTTTCATTTTTCTGAAAGTCAGTATGGTTTTTTCCTTTTTTCTTTTCTTTTTTTTTTTTTTAAGATTTATTTATTTTAGAGAGAAAGATTGTGTGGGGAGAGGGGCAAAGGGAGAGAGAGAATCTCAAGCAGACAGATGACTCCCTGCTGAGCATAGAGCCTGAGGTGGGACTAGATCCCACAACCCTGAGACCAAACCATGACCTGAGCCAAGAGTCAGACTCTTAACCAGTTGAGCCACCCGGGTGCCCCATGGAAGTCAGTATGTTTCTAAGTTAAATATCATACCTCGTATTTACTGGTAATAACTAACGTGTGTGCTTCAGATGGAAGTCATGATTTCTGTTCAGAGAAAGGGCGTGGATTTGGTGGGGCGGGGGATGAGGAAGAAAGAGAGCCTATGAATGAAACAACATAGAAACAGTGAAAGGTTCTGATCCTTTGGGAGGAAGGAGAAAAATAACAAAACCCTGATGTACTATATTTTATCCTTTATGTCAGCTGAGAAATTAGGGTCAGGACCCAGAAACTTTGCTCTATCTCCTGGTGTTTGTTTCAGCTCAGGTGGGGTGGGCTTCTCCTTTGATGGGTCATTTCCTTCTCTCCTTTCACATTCCAAGCTGCATTAAGATGACAAATTTCACTTATAGGCTCAGGCACAGACATGAAAACCTGAGCCATGGAGTTAGCAGAGTGAGTGCAGAAGAGTGGATTTATTGTGGGGAGAAAGGGATCGTTTGAAGAGCACAAAAGATTTGGGGAGCCCAGCTCTGAATCAGAGCTCACAGAGGATGGCCCCTACCATACCTGCCCCTCCCCACTGACTCTGCTCTTAAGCCTCATCACTTGTCTCAAGGCTGAAGACAAATAAATGTTAAAGTAATTAAGACACTTCTTTAGAGCACACATACACACACCCCAGAATATGTTGCTCATAGACAAAATTTTATTTGGACATAACCTTGTAGTGGGTTTTGCAGAAAGATTGAGGGTAAAACAAGGAGAATAAAGGCCCTGTGTTCTTTTTCTATCTGTGAACTCTGAAGTAAATAGTTCACTTTTCCTACCCTGCCTTTAGTAAGGGGGAAAAAAAAATCTTGGACGGCAAAGACCAAGTCCGTCACATCAAACATGACTGCGTTAAATACTAAAATGTTCAAAGTCCGACTGAGATAGATAAAGGCTTTGATGGAAAGTGGATATTTCCCAGGGACATTACAAGCAATAATCCAGATGTTATGGTGTAATGCAACGAGTGTCCGTGGATAGATCAGGAGCTCCAGCCAAGCCGCGCCTGATGTAGGCCTTAGCCTTGCCCTCCCATGCTGTTCCGCCATATGGAACCTATCTCTCGGCCCCCTTAATAACCAGCTTTGGATTCCATTTTCACAGAGCTCATAGAGCTAAGTGGGGCTGTTTTATGGACAAGTTAGATAGAAGCCTTTCCAAGATAAACATCCAATTTGAAATTAGGACATACCAAGCCACAAAATTATTTTAGGGCATATTTCATGGAAGCACTGCCATTTTTCTTAGGCAGTTGCCAGACTGTAGGATGCCCTTTGATCCCTTGTGGACATTACTCCCTTCTTTATAAAAAGGATTTTGAAATAGTTGCAGTGTTTAGGGAGGAATATATCTGTCGGAGCTTTGAAGCATGGTCATGGGACAGGTCATGCCTTAGCTTGTTGGTTGGCAAGTCAAACTTTAAAAAGAAAAAAATTAAAAAAAAGGAATTATAGCAGGATATATGAATCCAAATCTCATTTTTCTTTTAAAGGTAGAAGTTTTCAGCCCGTGTACCTAATAAGCTATAAAATGTATTCAGTGTATCCAGATCTATATGCTTACATATAGATTTATAAACACATATGCATATGTTTATATATGCGTCTATTTATATGCTGTGTTCTTTAATAAACATGAAATTGCTTAACTTTAATTTTTCATAAAGCTTCATTATTGAATATATTCTATCCACAAACGAACTGGAAACAGAAGTTAAGAAAGGATTGTCCATGTTCTCCAGAGGAGTGGGATTTTTTTTTTTTTTCTTTTTAAAATCTCACGCACCCTCCCTACTCTCTCAGCACCTCCAAAACTCGTGTGTGTGCATGCACGCACACACACACGCGCCTGCGTTTTAAGAGAAAAGCAACACAGATGTGAGGTTTGAGAGTGTAGATTTTCTTAAATGTGTTTTTGTTTAAGGCAGTCACAGAATGACCAACCAAATGCTTGGTGTGGTACTCCTGCATCATTTTTAAAAGTGGTGGAGTGACATGTGTTGGATGAGGTAAGCTGGTATATAATTAATATGATACTGACATACCATTTGTTGTGATAAATTGTGACTAACTGGTGTCCGAGCAAATTGGTGTCTGAATGATCTCGAAGATATATTGAGTAGACGACAGGAATGAATATATAGTGTTAGAAATTCATTGCTTTACTGTGGTACTTGATGCCATTTACATTCTTCAGTCCATTTATTTCCCCTTCAAATAAAGCAGTGTATGCTTGTACTGTTTCATGTTATTGAGCGGCGAACGTAAATGAACTCCGCCAACTAAATGCAGCGTGTGGATCATGTGGGGATCCTCATTCAGACAGACTAACCATAAAAAAAGACATGGTTGAGACCCTTCAGGGAAATGTGGATATGTGCTGGGTATTTAATGATATTAAGGGAATTATGGTTACTTTTGTGGAGTGTGATCATGGCATGGTGCTTATGGAAAACCAAATACGGATTTTTGCTTTCAAATATTTCAGCCAGAGAAAAATAGTGAAGGGATACATGAAATCAGATTGGCAAAATGTTGAATCAGATGAATAAGTACGTGGAGATTTATATACCATTCTCTCTACCTTTGTGTATGTTTGAAAATTTACATAATGGAAATTAAAAATAAATAAAGTGTGCTTGTCCTCTTTATAATTTAATAATAGGGGATGTTTGCTTTTTTCTATATTCTGTTTAAGGTGTGTGTGAGTGTGCATGAGTAATACAATTTAGAAAAGGAAAAAAAAAAGTAAGTTAACAGTTACTGAATCTCTACTGGATCCCAGGCACCATGCTAAGGGCTTTCTACATCCTTCCCCTCCCTGCAGATCTGCAAAGCTCATTTGGCTGGCTAGCTGATGGCAGGCTGGATCTGGAGTTGTGAATCTCAGTGGTGTTGGGTTTTTTAGTAGTAGCTCAAGGAATACAGGGAAGTGTGGACAGATTCAAGTGTGAAGGATAAATTCAAAACCATTATTTCTAAATACCCGGAGGAATTTTGTTTCCCTGCAAAGCAGTGCCTTGCTCTTCTCTCTCTGTTTCCCAGAATTCCCGTCTTCCCTTCCTACTATTAAAATAGCTGAAGGCCCTGATGAAGAATTCCTACCAAGGAGCACATCTGGGTGGGAGTATAGGCCAGTGCCAAATCCAAGTGTTGCTCCCAATCATCCTTCACTATATTGTTACAAGTCCGGTGCTCGAGAAGGAAATCACATAACTGTGCTTGCAGGTTTGCAAAATCAATGAAGACTAATAACACTTTCACCAGTCAGGGAGTGCTATTCATAATCCCATATTGAAAGCTGGAATTCCTGTGATCACCAAAGTCACACTCAAGAATTATCAGCAAGTTTATATGTCATCTTCATTCTTTGCTTTAGTCCTCTTTGATACGTAACCTGCGGCTCTCAGAGTCCTTGAGAAAGAACCAACTTTGGAACGGGATTATAAGTGTAACGTTGTTGGAAGGGAAGAATGTCTCAGGAGGAAGCATGACAGAGATGTTTGTCCAGTTAAAACTGGGAGATCAGAGGTGTAAAAGTAAGGTAAGTTCTGTCAATTCCTTAAGAAGTACAAGATCTTTCATAATAAAGGAACTGAAAAAAAATGTTTTCCACTCTGAATTTCACAAGAAGAGGAGAAATTTATTTTTAACCCTCGTAACTTTATTAGGAGCATTCCAGACAACAAAATAATTGTATAGCTGCAGTCAATTAATATACCTATTGGCTTGCTTAGCATAATTTATTTTAATATAGTAACTGGAGCAAGAGAAAGCTTATTAAATAACAGATTTGGATGCATGATTTATTTTTGTTTTGAAAATAAGCAAACATTGTTTCAAAGATTGCAGGAAAGGTATAATTAAATATTTTCAAAATCCTACAAAAATAAAATCGTGTAATATATTTGGGTGAAAACAGTCGAGATAACGAAAAATATTTTCAAAATCATATACTATTTGCTTTCTCTTACTTGTTAGTATTAACACGAAAAATAGACATTTGATGCTGGTTGTTGTGATTTTTTTTTTTAAACTGAAGTATTAGTGATTTGTTTTGAACAAAAGTAATGGCATTTTTAGCTGCCTTTAAAACTCAATCACCTTACTTTCCTGAAACAAATTCCACTTAATTTTTAATCTTAGTAATTTGGTGTGGTTTTTATTTCAAAAACCATAGTCTCCAAATCATGATAATGAATTCATTTTGCATAACTGTCAGACAGGAATATTTCCTAGGTTTTATGGATTGGGGGAACTAGGGTACTTGAAAGTTGTCACTTGCCAAAAGCCATGTAGAAACAAACAAACAAACAAAACAAAACATTGGTGGAAGATTTTGAAAATAGACCCGAGGATATTTGCAATTTGGACTTTACAGTGTAGAGGACATGACACATGCAGACCAGTGCAGTTGGGAAGTGATTTAGGGAGCAAGAGGTTTCTCTGTTGCATGCTCTTCAGTGCAAAATCAAACATTAAACATCACTTACTCCACCACAAGGAGTAAAGAATTGAAGCTCACACTGGAGAATCATTTTTGAGAAATGTGAAAAATTCTGAGTGAGTTACAGCAGAATTAGAAATATGATTATTTTAATCAGGTAGTTTCAGGCTGTACCTGACAGCAAATGTATCCAGGGTGAACACATCTCTCCACTAAGATTCCTTTAGCCAGCCCAGGGTCAGGCTAAGGATTTATAGAAAAATTATTCATTGCTAAGTACACTTTGCCCTTTGGACTAAGGTGGAGTGCAGAATTAGTCCAGTATTTGCTACAGTCCCCCTTGGGGAATGTCACATTTAATTTGTGGTCAAATATTTTTTTCCCTGTGGTTTCTAAATTCTGTGATCTGATATATTAAGCTCAGTGTGAGAAAGAGCTTAAATGATGGTACATGATGTTGGCTACAGCCGATGTCTGAGTTGTCCCTGTTTTCCCTTGCAGGAATAGTTTGGCGCTCGGATTTAATAGTTGACTCAGTGCTTCTAGAGCGTGATAGTCCGTGCCCAGCATTCTTGCTCCATTTTATTCACAAATTCAGTCTCTGGGTAAATGAAACAAAAGCAAAAAATGCTGCTAACAGATCAGACACATAAGCTGTTTGCAGTCACTGGGAGAACACAGAAACACTTGTGAAGTTTTCAAACCAGGCTGTTTACTTTTTTTGGTGTGGCTATAGTGAGGCTTCTCCGTCTTTCTCTCACTCCAGTGACTGGATTCAGTAAACTCAGATTTTAAAAACAGGCAGCAGTGTCCCAGTGACGGGTTTTTCATGCAGTGCATCGGACAGATGTGAATGAACATCTCAGCCTGCTAATTTATATGCTTCTTAAGCCAGCACTGAATGGATGTGCTAATAAAACTGTTACTTACTTGCATTCGATTAACCAATGAGGAGTATCTTTTGTAAGAGAGAGCAACTGTAACTGTCTATTGAGATATGTTTTATATGTCTATAATATATATATAATTTATGGTTCCTTGTGGGATAATTCTGGTGGGGTCACTCTTGCTAATGGGCTGGATAAATTCTTGAATCTCCGGGTGAGCTAAACGGGTAGTGATGGTTTGCCAATTCCCGAAATCTCAAAGTCCTTTTTCGTTCCAAAACGGACAGTTTAACTTTCTAAGGGAGAGGCACATCGTCACGATCTCCTGCCGTGTAGAAATGAAATGAATGTCTGTAGCTGCTATAGCAATGAATGGCATTTTAAGAAAATAAATACTATAACTGCATGTTTTCTAGACACTGTGTAAGAGTGCAAATCCGCAGTGGCGGGAACAGTTTGACTTTCACTACTTCTCTGACAGGATGGGCATTTTGGACATTGAAGTGTGGGGAAAGGACAGCAGAAAGCACGAGGAGCGTCTGGGCACGTGAGTCTGCTCTGCTTTCTAACTCATGGGAGATGTGCGTGGAGCTTGTTTCTGCATGAGGCTGGTCAGAGAGAATGTCATGATCTGTTTGGGCTTAGAGTAAAACCTCACATCCTCACCCCAGCAGCCATAAGTAAGCTGGACCCTAACCTGGGGAAAAATCTTGTTTTGTTTTAACTGGTAAATGTCATTTCATGTTGATTAAGACAGAAGAAAATAGTATGTGTCGGGAATTCTTTAAAAAAAGTTATTGTGCCATCTCAGGCTATTTGGGAAATGTTTATGCACAGGTCGGTCCACTTATATGCAGTTTTTTCCCCCAATAAATACAGTACAATACTGTAAATGTATTTTCTCTTCCTTATGATTTTTTTTTTAAAGTAACAGTTTCTTTTCCCTAGCGAACTTTATTGTGAGAATACAGATAACCTACAAAATATGTGTGAACTGTTTATATTATCAGTAGGGCTTCTGATCAACAGAAGAGGGCTATATAGTAGTTGAGTTTTGGGGGAATGAGAAGTTACGCACAGGTTTTGGACTGTGCTGGGGCATTAACACTTCTGACCCCTGTACTGTTCAATAATCAACTGTGTAAATTTCCAGTGTACCCTATAATTTTAGTTTTGCTACTTAGTAAAATACCATATAATTTAGTAAGAAGATGAAGCTAGGTGTCTCAAAATGGTGGGAAAATTTTCAGTGTCCTTGATGAGCTTTGTGGCAAACCATAACGAAATCTATTGAGGCGAGATCTATTTCCTTTCATTTCTTTACTCTGCACCCTCCCAACTTAATTGAGGGGCTTACCCATACGTAACGAGCAATACCATGAATATTATAGGTTCCTTATTGTAGCAATACCATTAAGTGAGATTGTGCCTGCACCATGGCTGGCCCTTGGGAAGTACCATGGAAATGGTGGTGGAAAGATCATCTCTCATCTTACAAATAGCCCTGCAAGTTAGTAGCATTATTCCTTTCCTGTGGAGGAGGGAATAGAGTGCAAGAGGCTTACAATTCACTTGGCCATGGACTTCAGAGCAGTGAATGCCAGGGCTAGGATTCTGTGTTTTCCAAGACCAATTTCTTTCCAAAAAATCACTGCCTTTTGTTCATCCCGTATATATACAATTTGTATCCAAATCTTAAATCTAGGATACAAGCATTCAAAGGGCTCTCAACAGCTGTTTGTCATCTTTTCCAAACCAGAGTCTCTGGAACCCTGGATTCAGAGAGATGCCTGGGGCTCACCACTTGGAGAAAAAGGGGGGGGTTCTAAAACCTCTATCCTGAGGCCAGAGCATCTCAACTTTTACTTCTCTTCTATATTGGGGTTCTAATTGAGGGAACGTCTTATTGCCGAAAGCTGAAAATTGAAAATGACTCCTCTAATAGAAACTCTTGGATTCACTGACGAGGGAATGCAGAGGTCCAGAGCAGTGAATGTTTTTCCATCAGCAGGGAACTTATAGGCAGAAATGGGGCAAGACCTAGCTATCCCAGTACTTCGTGCACTGCTTTTTCTGGGTAAAATACTGAGCACAGCGTCTGGCACACAGACTATTAGCTCTTCTTGCCGTCATCATCCCATCCCTCACCAGCAGCTCTCCTGGGATACTAAGCGGGGTGTTTGGTACCCATGGAACATTCCTGCCGTGTTTTTCCACAGAGGCACCATGTTCCATGGGACTGTCTGGCATGTTGCAGGATGTTTAGTGAATCTGGCTCTTACCCACCTGATACCTGTTGCTTTCCCCAGTTAGTGTGTAGGAAATGCACAAACGCAGAGAACTCTGTGTCCCAAAGCGTTATCTGAGTGGTGGGGATTTGGGCTTCCAGTGATGAATGGCCAATGTGTTATTTTAGGAGGTGCAAAGAATAATACCCTTCCCATTTCACACATCACTGTGCTGTCCTGTTTCCTTCACATAATAGGAAATGCTTTTCCAGATGAGTGTTAAGTTTTTTCTCAGCCACAAAAAATAATTTAAGATGTCCCTTTTCTTCCATGTGTTGTCATCGGAGTATGCATTTATTTTAGTTATTTCCTGTTTGTAACTTAGACGTGTACCTGTCCTAGGGGGTCATGATGTCCTTCCTCTTCATGGATTTTAAAGGATCTTTTTGGTATCCTTTTCCTTTTTCCTCTCCTGAGGTACAAAAGATAACAAAAGCATCTCTTGGGAGCTGGCTACACAGCGTTACCCTGCAGTGGGGTGAAACCTACCCTAAAAATATATACTGCTTCTCAGAGTTAAAGATAAGGTGGTGTCAGCATATGCTGAAACTCACCGACCTGTTACATACTGTTCCTTCCCACTTCAAATTTCTCACTTATTTTCTCCTCATTTCATTTTCTTTGTTGTTGTATTAAGGCTTGGTTATTTTATCCACCCGTGGTTGGGAAATACTTTTTTGCGTGAGGAATCTCTCCGACAGTGTGCATGAGTCATAATTGCCTCCTAAGACATGTTGCATATTTTGTTTTTGGAGAACACCTTGATGCTAGTCATTTAAAGCCCTACATGGCCTCTCTGAAGAAATTCTCATCAGTGAAGCATCCCTTTGCAGGCAGATTGACATGAGGAAAGGAGCACCAGCTTGGAGTCGCACATTCATGGCTTGCTGAACCAGTTTGCTAGCTGTGTGACCTCAGGCAATGGATTTGCTTGTGAAATTGGGCTTTCTTTCCATGCAGTGGGGTCTGGTCAGCAACAGTGTCTATGTGATACCTAGGTCTTTTATCAGCACTTAAATGCTAGATATTATTATTACTATTAATTTTGAGATTGTTCTGTATGACAACTGTAGACCCCCACAACATTTGCAACTAAAATTATGCAATTTAAGAAAAAGAAATATGGCTGGTAAAATTCAGTGTGTGTATATATACATATATATATTTTGTATATATATTGCATATATATATATTTTTCAAAACAGTATAGACATTTTTTGAAATTTTTTGCAGAAGGTTGGCAGTGAATATCTTCAAGGACATGGTGCAAAGGACATTTGTTGACTGAAGGATTGAGCAGCAGCATTGGCATTGGTGGGGTGCTAGCTTGGTGATGGTGATGATGAGCCAAGGTCTCAACTGGTGGCATGCTGTTCCCCAAAGGGGTGTCTGGATATGTGTCTCCTGAGTCACATGGAGCTTTCTGAAATCCCCTTGTGTCATGGTTCCCCTGTTGTCTTCCACTGAGCCACAAGTTATTCCCAAGGGGGTCAAGGCTGGTCCCCAGATCCAGCGTCCCCTGGACCATAGTGCCTACGAACTCTAGGGTTTATTCATGAGCAAAACCAAATCAGAACAAAAACAGAAAAATTACCAAAAAAACCCAGTCTCTGATTTTAAAATCCAACAATGGTCCAGAGACAGTGAACTTTTCGGGGGAGTAAGAAATAAAGCTAAGTTGAACCTGCTCCAACTTTTAAACAAAAGGGCAAGAGTATAAATATAGAGTATCCCCTTGTAAACCTGGGCCATTTCAAAACAATTGTATTGTTTTCTTAAAGTCTATTTTACATTTCAAAGTGATTTTAGAGATTAACTCGTTATAGAATATTCTAGGCTTTAGTTTTGAAAAGTTACTAATGAGAAAGTTCGAGTCCATTTTAACTGGGCTACCACAGAATCAACCTGCAGTCCCACATGGTGCCCTGGAAAGTGACTCTGACGTTCTCCCAGTTTATTAGTGACTCTGATGTGGTGGAGGAGTGGGGCTGGGATATTTCTCTGGACAAATTGCACCGTGTGTCGTTGATCTGCTTTTACAACCTGGCTTGACACATTCACCGTTTTCTTCGTGTTCACCCCCTTCCTTCGCCTCCAAGATTTACAGCTTTTAAAACTACAGCACTCTTTTCTGCCCCTCGCATTTAAGTTAAAAGCTGGCCAGTCTGTAAAATCAAACAGGGAATTATGGTAATGAATAAGAGGTTAAAAGCTATCATGGCAAGTGAAACTTGAGCAGGTTTGGGTGACTGATATGGCAAAATTATGTGTTGAATTAAAACATTAAAATGCAGCGGGATTAATGGAGAAAGACAAGAACAGGAGGTCAGAAACAATGCTTAAATCAGCACATTCACCGCCTGTAGGCTAGATAGCTTTACTATATGCCTGTAGCAGAAAAAAAGTAGTAATTAAGTCCTTGTCTTCTTCAGGTGAAGAGAACTGTGGACTTTTCAATCTGGGAGGCACCTAGTAAATATATTTATTTCCATTCCTTTCTTATGTAGGGGAGGAATTAGAGAGTGCACAGTATTTAGATGGTTAACAAAAAACACTTGCCTTTGTCATTTGGAGTTCTTGACTTTGAGCTTCATTATGCCACTGGCCTTCATTTTTTGTTTGTTCACTCTATTCAAGAAATACAGAGCACGTCATGTACCGGATACTGCAAAGATTCAGCAGAAAATGACAGTGATGGACGCTATCCTCAGACACTAAAAAGTTTGGGGCTGATTCAAGTTGTCAGGCAGCAGCTTGTGGGGTGGGGGGGAAGAGCAGCTTCCTGGATGAACGGAGATGGGTGGGTTAGCCTGACGAGGAGATTGGAGGAAGAACTTTCAGGAAGATGGAACAACATGGGCAAAGGTCAAGACAGGAGAGAGAAGGCACTCTGAGAAGCTTGAAAGGAATGAGAAGGGTGGGCAGTGTCATGAGATGAGACCTGAGAGCAGAGCAGGAGTGAGGTCACAAAGCCATCCGATTCCATCTCCTGCAAAGGAACAATGGTGGCTTCTCTCTAGACACATGCATGGGGGCCCCTGCTATTTTGTTTCCATAATATAAAGGTTGTTACAGTAGTGGGCTCTTACAGACCAAATATTTTAAGATCAGATTGTGGAATGAGAATTTCCTGGTGACCTAAGGGCCAGCGTGTGGCACCTTCTGAATGACTGTCCACACACGGTCACTTCTCTTGTGTGTGAAGTCACACATGAAGCCACAGGAACAGACCTGATTTGGTAAGGCTCATTAATCACGT